TTTGGGAATTTTCGGGATTTTTTGGGGGGTTTTTTCAGGATTTTTGGGGTGATTTTGGGTGATTTTTTGGGAATTTCTCTCCACAGACATCCAGTTGTGGAACAGCCGGCAGTCCCTGGAGGGGCTCTCCGTTCGCTCCGTGTTTTTTGGGATTTTCTGGAATTTTCGGGATTTTTTGGGGGATTTTTTCAGGATTTTTGGGTGATTTTTGGGAATTTCTCCCCGCAGACATCCAGTTCTGGAACAGCTGGCAGTCCCTCCAGGGGCTCTCCGTTCGCTCCGTGTTTTTTGGGGTTTTCTGGAGTTTTGGGGTGATTTTTGGGGGATTTTTTCAGGATTTTGGGGTGATTTTTGGGAATTTCTCCCCGCAGACATCCAGTTCTGGAACAGCCAGCAATCCCTGGAGGGGCTCTCTGTTCACTCCGTGTTTTTTGGGGTTTCCTGGAGTTTTTCAGTGTATTTTGATGGTTTTTTAGGGTTCTCTGAGGGATTTTTTCAGGATTTTTGGGTGATTTTTTGGGAATTTCTCCCTGCAGACATCCAGTTCTGGAACAGCCGGCAGTCCCTGGAGGGGCTCTCCGTTCGCTCCGTGTTTCTCGGGGTTTTCTGGAGTTTTTTTGGGATTTTCTGGAGTTTTGGGGTGATTTTTGGGTGATTTTTTCAGGAGTTTTGGGGTGATTTTGGGGTGATTTTTGGGAATTTCTCCCCGCAGACATCCAGTTCTGGAACAGCCGGCAGTCCCTGGAGGGGCTCTCCGTTCGCTCCGAGTTTTTCGGGATTTTCTGGAATTTTTGTCCTTTTTTTTGTTTTTCTGGGAGGTTTTTCCAGGGATTTTCGGGATTTTTTGGGGATTTTTTCAGGATTTTGGGTGATTTTTGGGAATTTCTTCCCGCAGACATCCAGTTCTGGAACAGCCGGCAATCCCTGGAAGGGCTCTCTGTTCGCTCCGTGTTTTTCGGGGTTTTCTGGAGTTTTTTTGGGATTTTCTGGAGTTTTGGGATGATTTTTGAGGATTTTTTCAGGATTTTGGGGTGATTTTTGGGAATTTCTCCCCGCAGACATCCAGTTCTGGAACAGCCGGCAGTCCCTGGAAGGGCTCTCCGTTCGCTCCGTGTTTTTCGGGGTTTTTCAGTCTCTCGTGGTGCTGCTCTACATTTTGGACAACGAGACCAACTTCGTGGTGCAGCTCAGCGTCTTCATCGGGCTCCTCATCGACCTCTGGAAAATCACCAAAGTCATGGACGTGCGGGTGAGTGTGGAACCGCTCCAAATGGGATTTTTCCCAAATTTTTTGGGGATTTATTTAGATTTTTTTGTGATTTTTGTGTTTTTTCCCAGCTGGACCGAGAGCACAAAGTGGCCGGGATGTTCCCCCGTGTGAGCTTCAAGGATAAATCCACCTACGTGGAATCGTCCACCAAAATTTACGATGATGTGAGTCGGGAATTCCGCCCCAAAATTCCCTGGAATTGACCCAGAATTATCAGAGAATAATTATCAGGAATTTCTGGGGATCAGCCCCAAAAATTCCCAGGAATTACTCAAAATTGATGATGGATTGATGCAGAATTCCAGAGAATCCCCCAAATTTTTCTGAATTCCTGAAAAATTGGCCCCAAATTAATGGAGAATTGACTGGGAATGACCTCACATCGATGATAAATTCACTCAAAAATTTTCCCAGATTTATTCCTGGATTTTTTCCTAGATTTTTCTGGGATATTTATTTTCCCGGATTTTTTTTTCCAGATTTTTCCTGGATTTCCTCCCATATTTTCACAGATTTTTCCTGGAATTTCCCTGGATTTTTGCCGATTTTTACCCAGATTTTCTCCTGGATTTTTCCCAGATTTTTCCTGGAATTTCCCTGGATTTTTCCAGAGTTTTACCTGGATTTTCTCCCGGGATTTTTCCTGGGTTTTCTCCTGCATTTTCTCCTGAATTTTCTCTTGCATTTTCTCCCAGATTTTTCTTGGAATTTACCCAGATTTTTTCCCAGATTTCTCCTGGGATTCTCCCAGATTTTCTCCCAGATTTCCTTGGATTTTTCCCACATTTTTTGCAGAATCTCCCTGAATTTTCCCCCAATTTTCCCACAATTTCCCTGTTTTTCCCAGGATTTCCCCGAAATTTCTCTGGGTTTTTTCCCCCGGATTTTTTCTCAGATTTTTCTCAGATTTTTCCCGATTTTTCCCAATTTTTCCCGATTTTTCCAGATGGCATTCCGGTACCTGTCGTGGCTGCTGTTCCCTCTGCTGGGTTGTTACGCYGTGTACAGCCTGCTCTACCTGGAGCACAAGGGTTGGTACTCGTGGGTGCTCAGCATGCTCTACGGCTTCCTGCTGACCTTTGGTGAGTGAAAAATCCCAAAATCCA